AAAAAAAAAAAAAAAAAGAAATTCCCGATAAGCTATATTTGTAAGTAAATATTAATCGACTATATGGATTTAATCAAGTACAAAAAGTAATATTCTTACTTTTTTACCTTTTTCTGTTAATTTCGCAGCTTTTCGCATATTTTTTTAATCAAAATTAAAATTTTTACCGTGCAATGCATTCATATATTTTGTATAAACATCGGTTATTAGTAGTATCGTCATTTTTAAAACTTGAAATTTCCAGTTTCTTTTCTTTTTTTTTTTTCAAATATTCATAGATATATTCATACTAACTATCCATCTATTTTCCATCGTGAAATAATGATCATCATCTTCAGTTACTATTATTTATCATATCAGACGAGATACAATTATTGTCGTTCTATCAAAAATGATAAAATTCAGAAATAAATCTCTTTCTCTTCTCTTTCTTCGACCAAGGATGAGATCGACGATTCATCGAACCGTCTCTCGCATCGAAAGTTTTTATCTTTTCTGCTCGAGCCTGCTCGACGAAAAATTGACCATGGAAACGTGAAACGTGGAGTGTCGGTTGTTTCGTTGACGTGTCGTTCGACGTGATAGAGATGCTGGATAAAACGAAGGAGTTTGTGTACCATTTTCGACCGTAGATACGGTTTCTTATTTCGTGAAGAACGATGGCTTGATTTTTTTTCTCTCTTTTTCATTCTTTATTAAATTTTCACAGGTGTGGTGTCACATTTCTTTTTTCTCTCACGAACAATTTAAATCCAAAGTTGCATTCTTATTGTTATCGCATTACGAAAATCGAACTACGCGTTCTCTGTTAAGAAATTTAAAAATCCATTTTATTATTAGATTATCTCCGCTTAAAGCGCTGTTACTTCTTATATGTTAAATTTACTATCTGGCTCCGAAGCAAACGCGATTCGTACCCAGCCATCATCATCTCTTCGTCCTCCATTCTTTCAGAGTCTTCCACCCACTCCAACCAACCCCTATCCTCTCTTTTTCCTCCATTCTCATCCGTTTTCAGATCCATTAGAATAATACAGCGTTTAATTGTTCTTTTGGCACATTTATGACCGGCTTTTTCCAAATACAAAAGGAGTTCGTTTCGTTTAATTCCGCTCCGTTAACTTTTAACATCCATAATATCGTCGTGACGAAACGACGATGCGAAACGCTTCGTCTATGGCCACCCTTGAACGAGATGAATAGTTAAGATTGCAGGGTTGTATGTAACTACTTATATTTGCTATAATGGATTACAGGCAACGTTTAAGAATGATGGAAGAGCTTAATAATCGACGAGCAAAAATTACAAACCTCAAAGAAGGCGTAATATCATACGAATATTAATTAAGATTATGAAAAGGGGAAGAAGGAAGAGGTTTCTGTGTTTGAAAAATATTCCAAGATTGGAAGAGATGATCTAATATAATATATTTTTGGTAGAAAATCTAAACGAGTGAATTGAAATACGAGTTGATAAACGAACAAATTAATAACGGTAAAAGTTTCAAAAATTGAATGGAACGATGAAAATTGTATCACATTTTATCGATACGATTGCGTAATAGATACGAAGTACACTTGTATCTACTGAAAATATTGAACTAATAAATTGCACATTTCGTTCTGGGTAAATTAAAGTACTTTAAGGCTATTGATTTGATGATGGCGGAGATCGACGTTGTTATAGAATAGAATAATTAAATTCAATTTTTTTGTTTGAAGAAAGTAAATATATTATCCTTCCCTTTTCTGTATCCATAGATTTTATTTTTAATAATAATAATCTAAATTAATATTCGTATTTTTTTATATAATTATCCATTGATCAAACACCCATCTGAAAAGAAAGAATCAAACAAACTCTCCGTGGGCAAATATTTTTTTTCACTCTCTACGAGAAAACTCGTCAAAACTTAACTTTTTCCAAAAACAATGAAAACAATTCTAAGATTATTCGTGAAATTTTAACTTATCGAAACAAAAGCGATAATTCTTTTCGTCCTCCCTCCTTTTCGAGCTCAATCACTTAGCTAAATCAAGTTCAGGATCGAATCTTCCTTGGCCTCTAAATCAGCAATATTCGACACCAATATCTACAATAATTTATAATATCTTTGTCAATTTCTCGACTCATCGCCAGCCAACTTACCAGATACTTGCAATAATCATCTTCTTCGAATCGATCCTCGTGACAAAAATATACAATTTTTCCATCGATCGAAAAGAAGCCTGTTCGAAGGGTGACGAATAATACGGGAGGCGGCAAATTGAACAAGCGGTGTCGTTGAAGATCGCAGGAAACCCCGGCGTTTCCCCACCCTGGAACAGACAAAGCGATCTCTGTTAATTGAAATGCAGTTTGTGCGCAATCAACACTTCATCTCTTGAATTCCATTTCCCCATTGTGATTCCCTCTCCCCCTCCCCTGTTTGAGGTA